TTATGAACAATAAAATTTCAGATGGTTTAGTATGTAGCTCAAAGGCATAGTTTGCCTAGCATTCATGAGATTCTAAATTAAACCCTCAAAAAAAAAAAACTTGCCAGGTCTGTGCACTCCTCCTGTAACCCCAGCACCTAGGAGGTAGTGGCAGGATGATCAGCTCAAACCACCTTTGTTTGCATACTGAGTCCAGGACTACCCTGAACCACAAGACACCCAGTCTCAAGAAACAAAAATAAGCCGGGTGGTGGTGGCACACGCCTTTAATCCCAGCACTTGGGAGGCAGAGACAAGAGGATCTCTGTGAGTTCAGGCCAGCCTGGTCTGCAGAGTGAGTTCCAGGACCAGCTCCAAAGCTGCACAGAGAAACCCTCATAAATAAATAAATAAATAAATAAATAAATAAATAAATAAATAAATAAATAAATAAATAAAACTCTGTGTATGAGTATTATGCTTACAGAGATTAATTGTGATAGCCCATATTCCAGAATGAAGAAATTCCATGCAATCATTATCTCTAAATTTTGAAAAGAGAATCATTAAAGAGAAAATCTGGGGGTTGGGGATTTAGCTCAGTGGTAGAGCGCTTGCCTAGCAAGCACAAGGCCCTGGGTTCGATCCTCAGCTCAAAAAAAAAAAAGGAAGAGAAAATCTAGATTTAAAAAAAATGATATTCAGCCGGGTGGTGGTGGCGCACGCCTTTAATCCCAGCACTCCCAGCACTCGGGAGGCAGAGGCAGGCGGATCTCTGTGAGTTCGAGGCCAGCCTGGTCTACAAAGTGAGTTCCAGGAAAGGCACAAAACTACAGAAAAACCCTGTCTCGAAAAACCAAAAAAAAAAAAAAAGATATTCATGAGAATACTCCTGCAAAAATAAATTTTTCCATTTAAGAAATTAGTAAATTGCATAACAATGAGAAATTACTCAACAGGATAAAATGACTACTGACTATATATAAAATAAGGTAATTATCACCCAACTAACACAAGTCCATAGAAAACAATTTGTGGAAGTTGGTTCTTTCCTTCTATGGATGGAACTCAAATTGTTAAGCTTGGTGGCAAGTGCCTTTACCCTTTGTTTCACTGGTCCTGACTTTTTAAAAATGCAAACCATATTAGAGGAAACATAAAATGTGGCTACCAAGATGCAAATGTCAAACAATCCAACTGGTTTGTACCACAAAATACAAGAATAAAAAAATGAAGGGACTCAGGTATCTTAAACAGTGGAATGAAAGAGGCAGAAGAAAAGATACAGTATAAAGAAAACAGGTGCTGCCAATGTGGCGCAATGACAGTGTGGCCTGGCAATCTGCGGCCAATCTCCAGCACTAGAATAAAAGTGACAATGCAGGCGCTGTCTATAGTAAATGCTAAATAAACACAATGATGTCTCAGTCTCAATATTACCTAGTATAAACAATACATAGTAAGTTAAGAATAAAGTTAATACAAAAACTAAGAAGCTTCATATAGTCCAACAACTATTACTACATTCACTGTAGTAACTCAGAAGAAAAAGCAAGAGTTAAACATCGTTAGACATTTCTCAAATATTTAAAGCTTACATGATCTGGAGCCTGAAGTAGGAAGAATGTAAGTTCAAAGTCAGCCTGGGCTATATACATTAAGACCATGTCTCAAATAATAATAACAGTAGTAATAAAATAAAACCTATGTGAAAAAATGTTAAGGGCTGTTGAGATGGTTCATTGTGCAAGCCTGACAACCTAAATTCAGTATCTAGAACCCCAGGCAGTGCTGGCACATGCCTTTACTCCCAGCACTTGGAAGCAGGGCAGGCAGATCTGTGAGTCTGAGGCCAGTCTGGGCTAGAGTGAGTTCCAGGACAGCCAGGGAAGTTACACAGAGAAACCCTATCTCAAAAAACCAAAACAAAAACAAAAAAGAAAGAAAAAAAAAGAAAGAATATCTAGAGCTCACAAAAATGTGGAAGAAAGAATCAATTTACAAATTTTACTGTGACCTTCACATGTGCGCCATGGCAACTGTGCACCCATCTACACACCATGCACACACAATAATAATTTTTTTAAAAATGTAAACACTTAGCTGGGCGGTGGTGTTGCACGCCTTTAATCCCAGCACTTGGGAGGCAGAGCCAGGCGGATCTCTGCAAGTTCGAGGCCAGCCTGGGCTACAGAGTGAGTTCCAGGAAAGGCTACAAAGCTACACAGAGAAACCCTGGCTCAAAAAACAAACAAAATATATAAACACTTAAGACTCCAAATGACATCAAAATAAAGCACAAGTTCACAGATAGTAGTGTCTAACATTATAAAGATGCTGCTTTCCTCTAAATTATTTTATAAATGTAATACAATCTCAATAGCAATTTTGGGGGACATTTTCCTTATTCAGACAAGCAAATCCTAAAATTTACATGAAAAAACTAACTTATAACCCTAGCTTCTCAGGGGTCTGAGACAAGAACACCCCAAGTGTACCATCATGCCTGGCTTATTATGTGGGTGCTGGGACCTGAATTAAGGTCCTCATGCTTGCATGGCAGGCACTTCACTGAAATGAACCAGCTATCCAGCCCCTCTGTAGTTTCTATAAAATAACAAAGAACCAATCTCAAGGCCTGAATGTATATAAGCTTGGGTTGGGACTCACTCCTCTCCCAAATTAAAAAAAAAAAAAAGTTAGTGACATTTAAAAGGATAGGAGCTGGGCAGTGGCGGACGCCTTTCATCCCAGCACTAGAGAGGCAGAGGCAGAAGGATCTGACTTCGAGGCCAGCTTGGTCTACAGGGCTATAGAGAAACCCTGTCTTGAAAAAGCAAAGGTAGGGCTGGAGAGATGGCTCAGAGGTTAAGAGCACTGGCTCTTCTTCCAGAGGTCATGAGTTCAATTCCCAGCAACCACATGGTGGCTCACAACCATCTGCAATGAGATCTGGTGTCCTTCTGATGTTCAGGTACATGCAAGGAAGCAGAACACTGTGTATAGATAATAGCAAAACCCCACCCCCCCCAAAAAAATCTACCAAAGAAAAGCAGCTAGAATGTGATGGTTTCCCTGTTTAAATTTTTTGGTGGTGCTGTGGACCTCTGCATGCTATGTATGGGTTCTATCACTGGTAATTTATGGACTTGCAAAGGTAATCAATTGCTTTACTTTTACTATTAAAAAAAAAAAAAAGCCAGCCGGGCGGTGGTGGCGCACGCCTTTAATCCCAGCACTCGGGAGGCAGAGCCAGGCGGATCTCTGTGAGTTCGAGGCCAGCCTGGGCTACCAAGTGAGTTCCAGGAAAGGCGCAAAGCTACACAGAGAAACCCTGTCTCGAAAAACCAAAAAAAAAAAAAAAAAAAAAAAAAAAAAAAAAAAAAAAAAAAAAAAAGCCATTGCTGGTACTGTCTACAGTGGCCGCAATAGCAGGCAGAAGTAGTTTTTCCACATGCCACATAATTCACAGACCTAGACTCATGAAGAAGTTATGACTTCTATGATCCAGAACAGCAACAACTACGCTTTCTTCAAAAAACAATGAGGAACCTGGGCCAGTGAGATGGCTCAGCGGGTAAAGGCGTTTGCTTCCAAGACTGACAACCTGAATTCGACCCCAAAACCCACACCGCGGGAAGACAGAATGGATTCCAAAATTGACCTCACACCTCCACACGTGCGTTCAGGCAAGCATGGCCAGGCAAATACAGGTAAATAAAATATTTTAAAATGAGGAACTGTGCCTGACCTAAACCTTGACTCTCTAATCCTGGGTTTTCAGTGGAATGACGCTCCTCAAAAGAAAATGCGAATTTGCCTGGCAGCTCTATTAACGTACCCGAAAAATCAGAAGCGGAGTCTGCAGCAGGCACCCCCGAAAGAAAAAATTCCAAACTAATTTTTGTATAATTAGGCATGCCAGAGTAATCTAAATCCTACCTCCATTCATAAGCAACTGCGTTTTAGTATAAAAATCGTTTTTTAAGATCTAAACATTTTTATTAAGGTTTACTACACATTACAAAATTCAACTGCCTGGCTATAAACTATTAATAAACACTGTTTTAAAAGTATTCTCCTTAGCGTCTCCTCCTCTCAAGTCTTCAAATAAAACGGATGTTCTTGGGGAAGATGGCCCCGTTGTAACGATCAGCACTTTCGACACGGGAACCACGGCGCAGACGTGACACCTCAACACGTCTCCACACTGTCTCATAAAGCACAGCCACCCATAATCCTACACCCAGTTTCACATTCACTCGACAATTCCAAACAACGGGTCAGACTCTGCGGTCAGATTCGGTCTCAAACGTTCAAACGTCCTCGGAGGCCCCCACCTCCGTCCCCCACGAAGGCCCGATGCTCTAAGCCCACCCGTGACCCCCGCGCCGCGCCACCGAAGCTCGGAAATCCTCCCCTCAGCCTCCCCGGCCCCACCGACCCAGGACGCCCAGATCCCACCTCCTACTTTGGCGCCACGTGGACCCAGAGGCCGTGCTGACCCGCGGACAAAGACCAAAATGTCCACTGGCTGCCCTGCGTCTGCGCACTCCGGGAGCGAGCGAGCACTCCCAGAAGTCTCCGCGACGCTCCGGGGTTTGTTCACCGAAGCCGGGACAAGCCGTCGTCTATTATCTGCAAACACCGCTTTTCCGGCCTTGGACTACACTTCCCACAAGGCATTGCGGGTCGTTTATCTGTCTCCCTCGCGCAAACTTGGTCGCCTCTTCTTGGGTTTTGGGGTTTCTTTGGGTAGATTGTTGTCACTTGGACCCAAATAAGCTCACACCTGGTGGGATGTTTGGAGTGGGGACTTCTTTGATACCTCACAGGCGCCGCTCAGAAATAGACAGCCTAGCCTCCAAGAGGACGACATCTTGTCCATGGCTGGTGTGGCTCTGGACTACGCTTCCCAGAGTCCATGGCGAGCTGACGTTGCATCTCACCTTGGTGAACTCTTTAGCGCTGGCAGAACCCCACGCGCGCGCGCGTCCTAAGAAGACAGGTGAGGGGTCTGGGAGTCCTGGGCGGGGACCGGGCGTGTCCCGAGTCTTGGGACTGTGCTCGTGGGAGCAGTCCCGGGCTGCAGGATTCTAAATGTGGATTTGATTGTGGCAGTGTGACCGGTTGTGAGTGCTTATAAGTGTGCTGCTGTAATCACCTGTCTCCAAGGTGCATATCTGATGGTTGCTGTACAAACATATGTGATGCTGTGTGTTGTGGTGCCGGTATCTTGTGATTGTGGAAGTGGTGTCTCGTGTTCTTGTAGTGTGTTATGTGCCCGTTGCCTTTATTCCTGGGGGGAGTGTGAATAAAGTTGTAACTGTAACCGGTGTCTGTGTGGGTTGTTACTACTGTGTGCAGGGTTCTGTGTCCGTGGCTCTGCATCAGCACTGCGTGGGTACCCGTACTGTGTCCCTTGGGGAGAAGGGAGGTGGAAGGACCTTGTGTGATGCTGTGTATGCGGACTGTCTTTGCTAATGACTGTCTCCAGAGTGAATGTTCAGTTATGGCTGGATGTAGCGTACTGTGCTTTCTGTGTGCCACCATGTGTGGTTGTGACTGTGTAGTAGGTGTCTTTAGGATGTAGTAATGGACAAGGGAAGTGACTGTGGAGCGTATGGAGGTATCTAACTGTGACTGTAACCTTGTGTGTCTCGAGAGGATGAACAAAGCTGAGCGTTGTAGTATATACTCCTGCAATCCCAGCATTTTTGACTCCTGAGGCAGGAGGATCTCAAAATCATGGCTAGCCTGAGATACACTGCAAAACAAACCCTGTCTCAGGAAAAAGGAAAAAAGAAAAAAGAAAGAAAAATGCGGAAGGGTGCTGGAGAGATGCCTAAGTGGGTAAAGTTCTTGGGGCACAAACATGAGAATGTGAGTTTGGATCCCCAAAACCCACATCAGTTGCTGTAATGTGTTTGTAATTCTGTAATCCCAGCTCCTGCAGGATTCTAGGACAGGAGAGTCTCCAAAAGCTCTCAGATAAACTAGCCTGGAGGGATAGCAGTGTAAAGCCCAAGGTAGAAGGCTTGCACCAACATCCGAGACTATTCTGCCCTCCACATAGCTGCCATGGCACACACATACCTATATATGTGCACACACACAAAGATAAAAAAAAGTTTTTTTTAAAAAAAAGAGCTGATGTGCTGCTTGTTATGTTTGTGTGACATGTCTGGCAGCAGCCAAGTGTGTCAGTGTGACGTGTCTATGACTACTACTCTGGCCCCAGCAGATCCTGTGACATTTGGGCACATTCTGGCCCTGGACAGTAGTGACCTCAGTTTCACAAGTCCCTGACCTTGGCCTGAATGCCCCATCTTCTCTGACCTCCATCCCCTGCAGAGCCCAAAACTGCCCTGGTCACTCCTGATTCCATTCTTCTAACCCTCTTCTAAGAAGGTGATGAGGAGCTGAGACAAAGCTCAGTGGTTAGTTATCGAACATCCAAAAGCCAAGTTCAAAATGCACCGGGTTCTATCCTTTCCCCGAAATTCTTGCTTCTCTGGGCATGCTTTCTTGACAGAATCACCTCACCACCCTCAGTGATCTCACATCCAGTATTTATCCTGAGAGTACAAGCTGAGCGACCTGAAGATAAGTTGAGGGGCTCATGTCCTCTCTGCCCCTTGCATCCCTAATGTGGGTCAAATTTTTTTTCCTAAGATTTTGAAGTTGTTTTAGACTTGAAAATATTACAGAGATAGAATTCCATATATTCTTTTTTTAATTTTTAGATTTTATATGTACAGGTGTTTGCCTACGTGTGTGTAGGTGCACCATGTGCTTGCCTGCTGCCAAGGTCCCCTTTTCCCACGTGACTCTAGTTTGGGTCAAGTTGACATGGTGTGTACACCACATAGTACATGCAGGTGCAAAGGAGGCCAGGAAACACACCAGGGTAGCCAGCTGCCTGACAGGGGCACTAGGCCCAGGTCCTCCACAAGAACAGCAAAGGCTCTTCACATGACAGTGTTTTTATTTATTTATTTTTTAAATTACATTCATGATATTCATTAATTACACTCATGATATTAATTACACTTGTGGTATTCATTGATTACATTCTCAGTATTCATTCAATAACTATATTTATGATATTCATTAATTACATTAATTGACATGACAGTGTTTAAAACCAGAAGGTTGACATTGCTTCACTAGTACCAACTACTTCCAAACCTTATTCACCATTGTCCTGATTTCTCTTTTTAAAACGAATTTTGGGGCTTACGTGTGTATGTGTTCCATGGCACTGGAGTCGGCTGCTGCAACTGTACCTTCACCAATGGCCTCGCCTGGGCCCTCTTCGTGGCCCACGTCTCAACTCTCTACATGGCCCCTTCAATCCTGGGGCTCCAACTGCCACTGAGGCTGCACCTTCACCAATGGCCTTGCCTGGCCTCTCACAGAGCCAAGCCTCAGCTGCTCTCCATGACCCCTTCATGCCTTCAAAACAGTACCACTGGGTGACTCTTACACATGACCATGTTTGGCTGCCAGCATGTGGTTCAACCTTGGCCGCCTCTAGAACACAACTTCTGTGTGCTCACCCTGAAGAAACACTTCCCAGAAGGTTTCACCTCAGTGGTTCTGGTCTCTTGTTAATCACGGCTGATTCTTCGGCCCCAGATGACCAGACACTACAGATTCTTAGTTCAAAATAGTTGAACAAAATTCTTGAAATTTCCCAAACCAGGCCTCCATCGCCTGCATTTCCCTCAGCATTCTTATCTTCTAAGCTCCCAAAGAATGGCCCATTGAACTCTGAACACTCAACAGCTCTGCCAGCCCAAAGGCCTACGATCCTCCAAAACCCAGCATAGTTAGTTCTGGTACAACAATACTCCACAGTCCTGTTTCCAGTTTTCTGCCTTAGAGTTTTTACTGCTGTGAGGAAACACCATGACCAAAAGCAACTTGTGATGGAAAGAGTTTGTTTGGTTTACACTTCCCTGTCACAGTTTTTTTTTTTTTTTTAATTTTTTTTACGTGGCTGGAGAGACAGCCGTGGGTGCTGGGAACCGAACTCTTATATTTTTGGTTGTGAGCCTAGCCTTTAACGGCTGAGCCATCTCTCCAGCCCTTGTCACAGTTCTTCATCTGAGGAAGTCAGGGCAGGAACTCAAGCAGGGCAGGAACCTGGAGGCGGGAGCCGATGCAGAGGCCATGGAGGGGTGCTGCTTACCTGCTCGCTCTCATGCCTTGCTCAGCCTGCTTCCTTATAGAACCCAGGACCACAGCCCAGGGACGGCACCCCCAACAATGGGCTGAGCCCTCTCCTATCAATCACTAATTAAGAAAATGCCTTATAGCTGGATCTTATGGAGGCATTTCTTAACTGAAGTTCCTTCCTCTCAGATGACTCTAGCCTATGTCAAGTTAACTTAAAAACTAGCCAACACAAGGCCAAAGGTCAACCTTCCTGACCCTGGAGGCCTGGAACTCTGGCTTGGGACGGTGATGGGATGGAGAAAGGACAGAGACAAACAATGAAGCCGGGGTCAAGTGAGGTTCTCTGACACTGTAGCTGGGATGCCGTGTGTTTTATTAAGTACGGGTCGGGAGGGTGCTAGCCATCTGTAACCCAGTCCCAGCGTCACCGCTGTTACTCAAGATCATTCCTTGTTCCCGTGGTTCTTCTGTGCTTGATCCTTCTCACCGGTGTCAAATACGCCATCATTTTCTCCACGACCCTGTCTGGGCCCATTTCCACCCTTATCTCTGGTTCATTTTTTTTCTACTTTCCACTTGGGGGCGTGGATTCTTGCTGTTACCCGGGCCTCAGCCTGCTGAGTTCTGAGGCTGAGCTTGTTCATCAGCTTTATCCTTCTCTCCATTTTCCTTTTCTAGGATTCTTTATCCAAAAAGAGAAATCAGAGTAGGTGAGGCAGTTCTGAATGATTCACCATGACCCTTCAGGTAGGTCGAAATTTCCTCTCAAATATTTTTGTTTTACATTTTTTAAATGTATTTATTGGAGATAGGGTCCCACTGTATAGTCCTGGCTAGTTCTAGAATAGCCTAGAACTCACTATTGGATCGGGCTGGTCTCAAACTCACAGAGATATGCCTGCCTCTGCCTCCGAAATGCTGAGAGTAAAGGCGTGGGCCACCACACCCAGACTTTGTTTACATTTAGTTATTTTGTTTCCACTTAGTTAGTTACTTTGTTGGCGGCATGTGGTATCCCAGCTCCTGTGTAAATGTGGTGGTCTGAGGACAGCTCGACGGAGTCCGGTCTCTCCTTCCACCGTGTGGCTGGAGATGGAGCTCGGATCATCAGGGTTGGCGGCAGGTGCTCCTACGTGCTGCTGAGCTGTCCCTCCAACCCTTCAGAGCATAGGAACAGCTGTGTTCTTTATGCCAACATGCCTCTGTGACCTGCTCTCAGGGAGCAAATGTTGGGGCCCCCTCCCCATCTCCTCTCTTCCTGGCACTATTTACAGTGCTCCTACCGGGTGCCGGAGGGATGGAAATGCATTCTCTTGAGGAAGATGGTAGCTTACTTTCTCAGAGCCATCGATGGGACTGAAGATGAGGTGACCCTTTCCAGTGACTTCAGCAGCTTTTCCTATACTGTTTCATGTCACTCCCTCTTAAGAAACGTATTTCATGGGGCTGGAGAGATGGCTCAATGCTTAAGAGCACTGGCTGCTCTTCCAGAGGATCTGGATTCATTTCCCATCACCCACATGGTGGCTCACAACCATCTAACTGAACCGGGGATCAGAAGGCCTGTTCCGACTTCCACAGGCATCAGGCACACAGATGATACACAGACATAAATGCAGACAAAGCGCCCATACACATAAACTAAAAACCATATTTCATACTATCAGAAACTATGTACAAAATCTTATGTCTGTATAAACTGGAGGCAGCGGTGGTGGCGCACGCCTTTAATCCCAGCACTCAGGAGGCAGAAGCAGGTGGATCTCTGTTCTTTCAAGGCCAGCTTGGGCTACAGAGTGAGTTCCAGGACAGTCAGGGCTACACAGAGTAAACTCTGTCTCAAAGTTTAAAAAAAGAAAAAAGTCTTTAATTCACTCTAAGTCTATTGTTTCAGGAAATGGTGACATTCAGGGATGTGGCCGTGGAGTTCTCTGAGGAGGAATGGAAGTGTATGGAACCTGCTCAGAGGGACTTGTACAGAGATGTGACTTTGGAGAACTTCAGTCACTTGCTCTCACTAGGTAAGGCCTCAGCAGTACCCAGGGCCACATAGGAAATGGGACCCCTGGGACTGGGGCAGTGGCAGTTTGCTGTGTGCACCTCTGGCCTGAGGGGTGAACAGAGGGGACAAAGGGATGCAGCCAGCAGCTGTGAGAACTCTCCATGTATCTCCCAGGTCAGAGGGGAGGAGAAGGCTAGGAAATGCCCCCATGTTCACCGCCCTTGACCTGTGACTTGCCAAGCACAATGGGAAAGCCAGGGGCAGGCAGCCCGAGGCGTAGATGTCACTTGACTATTGAAGGGGAGGGAGAAGGTTAATGGCATCTAATCACAGTTCAAAACTAATGTCTAGTCTAGTCTAGTCTAGTCTAGTCTAGGGGTTTTGTTTGTTTTTTAGAGTCTAGGAATTGAACCTTCATATTCAAGGCATTCTGCCACTGAGCTACAGGCTCAGCCTATCTCTCTTGGACTTTCTTGGGCCACTTTCAAATGTCTCACTGAATGTCTGTTCTCCATTTTTTCCCAAGAGAATTGTTTTGGGCTTTGGCCATTCCACTCCATCTCCCTGTCCTTTGGACAGTCTTCTCATCCTTATTTTATAATTGTCTCCATTCATTTGGGTCCACACCTGTAATCCCAGTACTTGGAGATAGAGGGAGAAAGGTCAGGAATTCTGTGCTGTCCTCTGTGTTAAAGCAAGGAGAAAAGACCAAATCCATGACTGTCCAGTTAAAGCAAACTGTATTTTGGGGTGCAGTCGGGACTGGCCAGCCAGCTGTCCCACCCTAAGTTTGGATCTGAGAGAACAGCCACGTCCCTTTTCTAGGAGAGATAAGATGTTCACAGGAGCGAGAGAGTCAGCTGTTCTAAATTGTTAGAAAGATATAACGAAAGGGAAGGAACAGGGTAAGGCTATACATCATGGGAACGGGGTTGCACGCAGTTTACAGCAGAGCTAAGAAACAGGAACACATTCTTTCTTTTTTTTTCTTTTTTGGTTTTGGTTTTTCAAGACAGGGTTTCTCTGTGTAGCTCTGGCTGTCCTGGAACTCACTCTGTAACCCAGGCTGGCCTCAAAACTCAGAGATCCACCTCCCTCTGACTCCCCGGTGCTGTGATCAAAGACATGCTCCACCACGCCTGCCCTACAGAGTGAAAGTTAATGTTTGTTGTTGTTGATTTCATGTGCACTGGTGTTTGGTGTTTTGTTTGCATATATGTCCGTCATGTATGTCAGATCCCCTGGAACTGGAGTTACAGACAGTTGTGAGCTGCCATGTGGGTGCTGGGAATTGAACCCGGGTCGTCTGGAAGAGCAGCCAGTGCACTTAACCGCTGAGCCATCTCTCCAGCCCCAGAGTTTGAAATGTAAACAGTATGTTCATGCCTCATTTCTTTTCCTGTAAACAGGACTTGTCCTTTCTAAGCCTGATGTCATCTTCTTATTGGAGCAAGGGAAAGAGCCATGGCTGGTTACAAAGTATATGACAAGACCTTGGCACCCAGGTGAGTGAGACCTGGTCTGGCTGGAGAGGTCGTGGGACTAACGGTACGGTGTGCCAGCTGGTAGCTGTAACCTGAGTGATTGTTGGGAAACCTGCTATAGACTGAAGGCCTGAGTTAGGAAGCAGAGCAGGACCCTGTCAGCATCGGCGTGCACATAAATAAAGGTGTAAATCATTCTGAATTAGATAGTGTTTTCCCCACTGCCTCTGTCTTCTATGGTTGATAAATCAGGTAGTTACAGTTTGGGGAAATATTTCGTGTATAGGTATTGTCTTATTTTTATTTTATGTGTATGGGTGTTTGGCTTACATGTATGTCTGTACCATGTCCATGCCTGGTTCCCTAAGGAGACCAAAAGAGGGCATCTGATCCTCTGGAACTGGAGTTACAGAACCGCCACGTGGGTGCCAGGAATTGATCCCAGGTCCCTTGGAAGAGCAGCCAGTGCTCTTAAACAGTGAGCCGCCTCCAACTCCTCTTCCTCTTTCTTTTTTCTTTTTCTTTTTCTTTCTTTTTTTTTTTTTTTTTCAAGACAGGGTTTCTCTCTGTAACAACCCTGACTGTCCTGGATCTTACTCTGAGGACCAGGCCGGCCTCGAACTCACAGAGATCCACCTGCCTCTGCCTCCTGAGTGCTGGGACTAAAGGCATGTGACACCACAGCCCAGCTCTCTCTCTGTCTCTTTCTTTCTCTCTCTTTGTCTCTGTCTCTCTGTGTTTCTGTCTCTATCTCTCTCTGTCTGTCTGTCTCTGTCTCTCTCAGAATAAACACCTTTTTTCCGTGAGCTGCAGATTCTGACCTGTCTGCCCCCCCTCGCTTTGATCTTCCTCAGAGAGAACTCCACCCCTTGCCCTCTAACACGGCTTTCTGCCCTGCCACTCTAGCCTGTTGATGTCAGCAGGAGGCTTGCTCCTTCATAAATCTGCTGCTTTTGGTGCTCTTTTTTCCTTTCATCACATTTCTTTTGGATTTTCTTTGATCATTTTTTCTTTACAATCCCTTCCTCTATAGACTAGGGTGGCCTCGAACTCAGAGCTCTGCCTGCCTCTGCCTCCTGAGTGCTGGGATTAAAGGCATGTGCCAATATTGCCAGATAGCCAGGGCTACACAGAGAAACCCTGTCTTGAAAAACAAAAAAGCTGTAAAATCCCTTCCTCCTCAGGAGTTAGCTTGGCCTCAGGTGCGGGTGTAGTGGGACTCTCACCATTCCTGTGCTCTCTCTCCATAAGCACGATGCAGTTCTTCCCCGGGGCCCTGGTGCAGACCGGCTTGTTGCTGGATGTGTTATAGACAACATCAGTGATCCCTGTTTTGTGAATACAGCAATCAAACCCCAGGAAACGTTCTCCACATCCGATCTCAGGGCACAGTAGTTTTTATTGCCTCCTAAACTCAGACAGGGTTTATACCGGGGACCCATCTTAGTGTTGGCAGCAGGCCACGCCAGCTCTTACCTCCTCTTCTCATGGGAGAGCTTTCACTTGCCCCAGGTCTGGTGCCAATTGTTCCAAAAGATGCCTATCCATCACAAACTACAAAGATCTTTTTAAAATAATAATAATAATAATAATAGGGGCTGGAGAGATGGCTCAGCAGTTAAGAGCACTGACTGCACTTCAGAGGATCCAGGTTCAATTCCCAGCACCCACATGGCAGCTCACAACTGTCTGTAACTCCAGTTCCAGGGGATCTGATGTCCATGGCAAAACACCAATGTGCATAAAATTAAAAAAAAAGTTTAAGTAAAATAAGATAAATAAGTTACTTTTGTTTATTGTGTGTGTTTATCTATATGTGGAAGTCAGAGGAAAACTTGCAGACACCACTTATTTCCTTCCACCTTGTGGGTCCTGGGATCAAGGTCAGGTTGGCAGCTTGGTGACAAGTACATGTACTTGCTGAGCCCTGTGCCCAGCCCTGTTGTTTCCTCTTTGATTTAGTCTGGGATCTTTCAACCTGAGTAAGGGCTTCATCCTCTCAGGATTTCATAGTTGCTATGTCTGTTCTCTCTTCATCCTCATTTCCAGCTGTTTCTGCTTCGCTAGTATACATGCACACACACCAGGAGGACATTTGGACATTTGCATTGGTAACACATTTCTGGGTTACTCTGATCAATTTCAAAATTGGGAACCTCAGGCTTAATTTCTTTTCTTGCCCCAGTCTGGCATCATGTATACTTCTGCCATATTTGTGCATTCTTAAAAATCGCTCAGCGCCGGGCGGTGGTGGCGCACGCCTTTAATCCCAGCACTCGGGAGGCAGAGCCAGGCGGATCTCTGTGAGTTCGAGGCCAGCCTGGACTACCAAGTGAGTTCCAGGAGAGGCGCAAAGCTACACAGAGAAACCCTGTCTCGAAAAACCAAAAAAAAAAAAAAAAAAAAAAAAAAAATCGCTCAGCGTTTGAGACATATTAAGCCATTAGTTTTTTTATGATGAAAATTTTCATTTTATTTCCATATTGTCTGTGGTGTTTTTATTCCTCGTGGTAAAAACAATTTGTTTTCGTTTTTTCTCTGATTTTTCAGACTTGGAGTCCAAGTGTGAGATAGTTCCACAGAAAGGACTTTTTGAAACAGAGTCATTTAAAAGGGAGGTGATGAAAAGCTTTCAGCACTGTGACCTTAAGGACTCCCATCTCACAGATGACTGGGAATGCAGAGACCAGTTGGAGAGACAGCGAGCGAGACAGGAATGCCATTTCAAGCAAGTGGGAATCACCTATGAAAGCATGCCTGCTTTCAAGCATTACACATCTGTCACCCTATTACATCAGAGCAACAGGACTAGTGAATGTGGGGAAGCATTTGGCCGTGGCTCACACCTTATGCAACACCAGAAAAAGTCTACTGGAGAAAAGCCTTTTGAGTGTAAGGAGTGTGGGAACGCTTTGGGTCGAGCTTCACACCTTGTTCAGCATCAGCGAATCCATGCTGGTGAGAAGCCCTATGATTGTCAGGAGTGTGGGAAAGCCTTTGGTCGTACTTCAGACCTTATTCTCCATCAGAGACTTCACACTGGTGTCAAACCCTATGAATGCAAAGAATGTGGAAGGACCTTTAGGCAGCAGTCACAGCTTATTCTGCACCAGAGAACTCATACGGGTGAAAAACCCTACGTCTGTAAAGACTGTGGGAAGGCTTTCATCCGTGGTTCCCAGCTTACTGTGCACTGGAGAATTCACACAGGAGTGAGACCCTATCAGTGTAAAGAATGTGGAAAGGCCTTCAGACAGCACTCACAGCTCACTGTACATCAAAGAATCCACACTGGGGAGAAGCCCTACGAATGTAAGGACTGTGGGAAGGGTTTTATCCATAGCTCAGAAGTTACTCGGCATCAAAGAATCCATTCTGGGGAAAAACCTTATGAATGTAAGGAATGTGGGAAAGCATTCAGACAGCATGCACAGCTCAGGCGACATCAGACCGTTCATACTGGTGACAGACCCTTCGGATGTAAGGACTGTGGAAAGGCCTTTAGTCGTAGTTCATACCTGATTCAACATCAGAGGATTCACACAGGTGACAAGCCTTATGAATGTAAGGAGTGTGGGAAAGCCTTCATTCGTGTTTCCCAGCTGACTCATCATCAGAGGATTCATTCATATGAGAAACCCTACGTATGCAGGGAGTGTGGAATGGCTTTTATTCGAAGTTCACAACTTACTGAACACCAGAGGATTCATCCTGGTATCAAACCTTATGAATGTAGAGAATGTGGGCAGGCCTTTATCCATGGCTCACAGCTTATTGACCACTACCGAATTCATACTGACTAGAGCATTGTGGGATATTTGTACCTGTGGGAAGATGTATTGCTGTGATTTTTGTAATAAAAAGCTGAATGGCCAATAGCTAGACAGGAGGTATAAGCGGGATTTCTGGGGAGAAAAGGAAGAGGGGAAGGAATCAAGGCATGCAGGAGACACAGAGAGGAAGCAGGAGGTACAAGATGGAAGAGAGGTAATGCCATATGATAGCATGTAGATGAATGTAAATGGCTTAATTTAAGTTATAAGAGCTAGTTAGGAACAAGCCTAAGCTATAGGCCGAGCTTTCATAATTAATAAGATGTCTCTGTATCATTATTTGAGAGCTCGCTAGTGGGACAAAAAAAAAAAGACTCGTTACATGAGAATCCTAAACATCAGTGCCATGGTCAAGCCTTTATGCTAAGTTTAAATCTAGCCAGAGTTATATCGCCCCCCCCAATGTAATTAATGTCAGAAAAACTTCATTCATCTCTTCTGCTCTAGGGTATCAGAAAACTCAATGCCAGTAGAAAGATCCAGTGAATATGGGAATTCATTTTGCCTCATTCACTGATTATTATTTATTTATTTATTTATTTATTTATTTATTTATTTATTTGGTTTTCCAAGACAGGGTTTCTCTGTGTAGCTTTGTGCCTTTCCTGGAACTTGCTTTGGAGTCCAGGCTGGGCTCAAACTCACAGAGATCCGCCTGCCTCTGCCTCCTGAGTGCTGGGATTAAAGGCATGCGCCACAACTGCCCGGCTTCATTCACTGATTATTAAGCATCAGCAAACCTGTGCTAAAAATAACTTCATATTAGTATAGAAAAGCCTTTTATTACCTATCAAAACATGTTCAATTTCTTTTTTTTGTTGTTTTCTGTTTTTTGTTTTTTTCAAGACAGGGTTTCTCTGTGTAGCTTTGCGCCTTTCCTGGAACTCACTCTGTAGCCCAGGTTGGCCTCAAACTCACAGAGATCCGCCTGCCTCTGCTTCTCTGGTGCTGGGATTAAAGGCGCGCGCTACCACCACCACCACCACCCAGCTATGTTCAATTTCTGAGAATCCCAAACAGATAGTGATCCTGATTAAAAGATTATTGGTTTGATGTGCTGAATAATGAATGTCCTTTTGGTCGGTGTGGCATAGACAGTGTTCTTGCTGCACTGACTACTGAATGTCATTGAACATATTATGCAGTTTTTACCCCTTTTGTCCCTTACATCTTTTTACTTCTTTGTTGTTTTTTACTTTGTTTTTGAGACAGAGAAACATTTAACCTTGGCTGGCCTCAAAATTATGTAGCTGAAGATGACTTTGAACTCCTGATCCTCCTGTCTGCACCTCCCAAATTCTGGAATTACAGGCTTGCACTACGATGCCAGCTAACTTCTTGGGTGTGTTTTTGTTTTTTTAAGAAACTGTCACTTACCTTGTAGAAGACCTCCATGTTGTAATTTAGCATGCATCTCTACCTCTGGCATTTCCTACAACTGGTAGTTAAGATTTTAGAGACTTAGCCCGATGTGGCAGCACACACCTTTAATCCCAGCGCTCTGGAGGCAGAGACCAGCCAAAGCTATAAAGTGAGAACCTGTCTCCAAAAGGGAGAGGGCACTGGAGCAATGGTCAGCCATTAAGAGCACTTGCTCTTGCAGAAGACCTGAGTTTGGTTCTCAGCATTGTGGCTCACAACCATCCATAACTCCAGTTGCAGGGGACCCAACACCCACTTCTGGCCTCTGCAGACACCAGCATGTACTTGGTGCACATAAATTTATGTAGACATACTTTTTTAGCTTTTTTTTTAACTTAAAATTTTTTAATTTTTTTAAAAATTTCAACTTAAAATCCCAAATGAACTTGGAAGATACTTTATGCTTACTTTGGGCATTGGGAAATGCAGCGAGACATGTTCTCATGCAGCCCAGGCTGGCCTCAAATTTGTTCTATAGCCAAGGATAAAGTTGAACTCCTAGTTCTCCTGACTTCACCTCCCAAGTGCTGAGATTGCAGATGTTTTTCACAATTTTAAACTTATATTTTCTTATAAAGTCTGAAACTCAGGGACTCCAAAAGAGAAGAGATGTATCGGAGGGGTAAGGGGTGCACAGACTACAGCTTCTGCCCTTTCAAGGGCTGCCATCTTCCTCCCCACCACTCACGTCTTTTTCGAGACAGAGTTTCTCTGTGTAGCCCTGGAAGTCACTCTGTGGACCAGGCTGGCCTCAAACTCAGAGATCCCCCTGCCTCTGCCTCCGGAGTGCTGGGATTAAAGGTGTGTGTCACCACTGCTCCCTGACTATGCCATCTTCATAATGCTTTAACGTGATCACAATCCTGGAGCCCGCCAAAGGGCTATTTAATTACATAGTAAGTGTTTAATCATCAACCATAAGTGATTCCATCATTCCCTTCCCTAGAATCCTAAGGATATTGGGAGGGCCAGATATCCAACCTTTTCTTCATGCCCTGGTCTTTCTGGTGACCAGCCACCAATCCTCAGCCTATTTGGGGGCTTCTGACGTCTCATTAGTAAATAAATAACACTGTCAATCACTCTGATGGTTCAAAGAATTTTAGGAACTGGAGGCAGGACCAAAAGTATATTTTCTGTTATACAGGTGGCACCTTCATTCAACAGAAATATTCATGGGTTTTGTTTGAGGCAGGGTCTTACTATATAGCCTCAGCTATCCTGGAACTCAAGATCCTCCATCCTCAGCCTCCCAAAAGGCTTACACGTGTGTGCTTATGACAGTTTAAAGCACTGTGGGGTGCATTTACTTTCTAACATTGATTTTAAAACGGCAATTGTAAGCCTACTTTGGTGGTACATGCCACTAACCTCAGTAATCAGCCTGCTGAAACATGGGGATCACAAGTTCCAGATAGGCCAGAACTATGTAGTAAGGCCCTGTCTGGGGAAACAAAAGGAGTGTGGGTGGGGTAGAGCTAAAAAATCCTAAATTATCAGAGAATACACGGAAAGGATCAGGTGGGAGTGCAGTTAAATGTTTCAGCCACTAGATGGCAGAAGAGTGCTACCAAACAGGTTCCGCCTCGCCTTCCACCACAAGCAGCAACTTTCTGTTTGCTTGCTTGCTCTTTTGTTTTGAGACAGGATCTCCCTATGTAGCTCTGGCTGTCCTAGAACTCACTCTGTAGATCAGGCTGTCCTCGAACTCAGAGATCAGCCTGCTTCTGCCTCCCAAGTGCTGGGAGGCGTCCACGCCCAACTTGTTTTTTGATTTTTAGCTTTATGTCTATGGATTTTTTTCCTGCACGTCTAATGTGATGAATTGAGGGAGGCCATGGGAGAAAGGAAAAGCCTCACATTTTAGTACATTTTGCCGAATCAAAGGATGGAGATGCAGTCCTACGTAGCCCAGGGTTGCCTCCAATGAAATCCTCCTGTCTCAGCCTGAGTCTTAGGATTAGAAGCAAGGCGTGGGCCACGGGTTGCTATTATGCTCCTTTCCCTGAAGCACTAAAGGTTGAAGCCAGGGCTTTGTACAAGCTAGGCAAGAGATCAGCCCCTGAGCCAAAACCCAAGCTCCTAACTGGTGGATTCTAGACACACAATCCCTTCTTATTTTTCTGTTCTAGGTATGCATGGATGGATGGATATTTGTGTGTGTGTGGGGGGGGGTATGTGCATGTGATATGCATATGGTGCTGTGTATGTTGTGTATGTGTGTTTGCACACAGGTGAAACTGAATTAAATGCAAAAATGTTTGAATGCAGCTCCACAGTTTTCCATTGTGAGCTAGGGTGTGGCTGGGGGCAGAGAGCTTGCTCAGCATGAGCTAGGTGCTAGGTTTGATCCTGGCTTTCGTGTGATTTTCTCAAAATCACATTACTAGTTTCTTCTTCTTTCTTCCTTTCCTCCTATGCTTTCCTTTTCAGACAGTGTCTCAGGTAGCTAAAGCTAGCCTGGAACTTTCTGTAGCCAAGGCTAGCCCTGAACAACTGCTCCTCCTACCTCCACTCACCAAGTGTATTTCTTTTTACTGTATTTTTAAATTTTACTATTTGTATATGATGGGAGGGCCCACGTCTGCCACAGAAGGACAGCCTTGTAGAGTTGAGTGGCAAGCATGCTTACCTACAGAGCTGGCTCACTAGCCTGTCTTTTTTAACTGCTAGCTAAGTTATGCTCTGAGCCCACTTCATTGCCTGAATAAACCTCTGACCATAGAGACAAAAGGCCAGAAATCAAAAGTGAAAACTTCTCTAGCAGTTAGACCTGGTGACCTATGACCCTGCACCTACAATTAAGGCCAACTCCTAATGGCCCCTGGTGCCTCACCCTAATGGCCAGTCTTGGAGAATGATAAAATAGTGGGCTGCGCTCTTGAGCTCTTTTCAGGTTGGATCCACACAAAAGGCCTAGGAAGCTTCCAGAGAACCACATTTTTCTCTCAAGGGAGCACACACACTCTCTTCCTCCCACGATCTCCTCTACCCCTCAGTTTGCTCTTGTGTTTCTGTACAGTCTATTTCTTCTTTTATGTTGTTTTGTTGTTCTTTTTTTTTTTTTTTTTTGAGACAAGATTTCTCTGTGTAGCCGTGGTTGTTCTGGATCTCACTCTGTAGAGCAGGCTGGCCTTGAACTCACAGAGATCCACCTGCCTCTGCCTCCCGAGTGCTGGGATTAAAGGTGTGTGCACCACCGCCACCCAGCTATTCCTTATATCATTTCTCATGTGCATTAGTGCTTTGCCCACATGTATGTCTCTGTAAGGGTGTTGTGTCCCCTGGAACTGCAGTTACAGCTGTGAGCTGCCATGTGGGTGCTGGGAATTGAACCTGGGTCCTCTGAAAGAGCAGCCAGTGCTCCTAACTGCTAACCACTGAGCCCCCTCTCTAGCCCCACCTCCTCCTACCCCCCAGTGTTTATTCTTAAAAGTTTGTTTTTGTGTTTTGTTTTATTTTAAGACAGTCTCTTTATGTAGCCCTGGCAGGGCTGGAACTCACGGTGTAGACCACTCTGCCTTGAAATTGCAGAGATCTACCTTCCTCTGCTTGTCTCCCGAGCACTGGGATTTTAGGCCTGAGTCACCACTCCCGGCTTTTTTTTTTTTTTTTTTTAATTTTTATTTCTTAAGTCAGTTCTGGCCCAGTAAACAATTGTGTCCCCGGTGCCTCCCGATTTCCTCAAGGGTACTGGGGAAGGTCCTGAGTTGGCCCTCAGGTAACAAATATGGAAACGAAGGCTCCGAGGTGCAATCACTCGTTCTGGAGACAGAACGAGGCGTTAGTCTACCTCTGCCCTCACTGGCTCCCAGATACCAGCAGGGTAGCCCTAGATGGAGGCTGGGGACGACGCGTCCCCAGCCACTGTCTGCAAAAAACGTAATCTGATGGAATCAACCCAAACAGATGATGACTGGCAGGTTGGAACCTTCCCTCTGAGCCTATTGGACAAATCTGAGTTGGCCACGCCCCCAGGCCGGGTGCAGCAGGCCTGGCTTGGGATTCCCTCAGGGGTAAAGTGTCGCACGTCCTTGGGCAGAAAGGGGAGGTGACTGGAGCAGCAGAGGACGCAAAATGAGAGTCTTGCGGGTGAGGCCCCATGGGCTGTGTCGGGGTGGAGGGGAACCCCACAACCCAGATGCCTACCCTAAACTTGCCAGGATCTGGAGTCTTGGAACACATGCACCCTTCGGAGTCTGGGACTCCCCGACGCCCTGAGTTTCCAAGACGGTACCTCTAACCTGGTCCAGAACCCTGGGTTTAAACCGCCCTTTACCCAAATTCCACCTTAACGTTCCTGGGAGCCCTAATAACAACTCAGGGTGTCTTGGGCAGCCTGGAAACTCTCATGGAACTTCCAAGTCAGTCTTGACATCCCTGGAACCCGATTTTCTCAAATTAATTAATCCAGCTACCCTCCCTCAATCCCCCATGCACCTGTTTCATATTCTCAACACAGGAGTCTCCCAGGAGCCTCTCGGCCGCCTGCTGACCTCCAGGCTGTGCTCACCAGGCATTGATTCCCTCCCCTTACCCCCTTCTTTCTGCTTCTGGGTTTTTGTTGTTTTGTTTTGTTTGTTTGTTTGTTTGTTTGTTTGTTTTTTGACACAGGGTCTCATCTAGCCCAGGCTGCAGCTGAATATGTCTTTGAACTTCTAATCCTCCTGCCTCTGCCTCCAAGTGTGATAACACATGTATGACACCTTCCCTCATTTTTTAAATGCTTACTAAGTAGTTCAGGCTGGCCCCAAACTCCTGATCTTCCTGCTTGAATGCTGGGATTACAGGCCTCCACCAATCCCTTCCCTACTCTCACTAGTGACTGGTATCTTGCCTTGAAGACAGATGCCAGAGACATACAGTCCCTCCATCCCGATCTCAAAGAGCGCCCTTCCCACTGGCCTCACGAAGCGGCCACCAACCTACCCACCTCCTATCCCTCCAGATCTCCCAGGCTTTGACTCGTCCGTTTAGCTCATCTGCCCGGAGCCACTTAGAAAATCGTGTGGCAGAGAAGCAGAAACTCTTCCAGGTAGGGGGACAACGTCCCTGGACCCGAGGTGGGGAGGGGGTAGCATGGCACGTGGAGGTCTGTGCAGGAGCCAGCACCTTGTCATCCTCACCCCTCGCATGCAGGCCAACAATGACCTCCCAGTACACCTGAAGGGCGGGGGAATGGACAGCGCCCTCTACAGGCTGACCATGACACTGGTGCTGGGGGGTGAGTGCAGGCCCACCCCGTTGCTTGGGTTGTGGACTAGCCAGGATCTGGGTCAGTTAGTGCTTCAGAAGGGGGTGAGTGCTGAGCTGATAAGGTCTGAGGACGGACTAGTGCTTAGGACAGGAGCAATGGGTTACCTATTGCCCTGAGGGATCGGGGCTAGTGATGGGTCTGCCCACCCCACCCCAAACTAAGCTCCTGACCTGGTCCCTATCACAACAGGTGGGGGTGGGGCTTCCCCATGAGGAACGCAGTGTGGGAGGAAGATGACAGCTGAGCTGGAGCTGTGACCCATGAGGGGATAGGGGAACGTCAGGAGGGGCCTTCAGAGGCCCTGTGAGAGGCTGAGCGGGAATACGGGTCTCATTTGTTACCCGCCCCTTCTTAGGCACTGCCTACAGCATATACTGCCTGGGCTGGGCCTCCTTCCCCCACAAGAAGTGACACGAGACTCTTGGAGGACTTGGACAAACATCAATAAACATGCAGACCTCTTGAGAACTCCACCGGCTCTGGCCTGTGTGTCTGTGCGTCCCAACCCACCTTCCCATCATCCAGGGATGTCTACCCAATGGAAAACCACTTACCCCGGATGTTGGCCCCTTGTGCTGGGCCAGTGCCGTAAGTAGGGCAACCTGCGTTAGATGCATACTGGGGGACCAAAGGCCTGGAGTGGGGGTGTTGAGTGGAGCAGGGGTAGAATAATCTGGAATGGCGTCCCCTCCCTTTCCAGAGGCCCAAAGGGTAGGAAAGGTGCTGGGCTAGTTCCAGGACAGCTAGGGCTATATACCAGAGAGACTCTCTCTCAAAAAGGAGGAGGAGAGACGCTGTGCATGATCTATGAGCCAAAAGAGGATCAAGATTGGTGCCAAGACTGAACTTGGTGATATAGCCGTGCGGAAGAACATAGAATCCACCAGTGTGTGTGTGTGTGTGTGTGTGTGTGTGTGTGTAAGGGACAGAGTACAGAGGCTCCCTGAGCTCTTTTAACATCTTGGAAGCTTTGGAAGCTGCAAGGGGATCACTGGGGATTCTGAGTCCCGTTCTGAGCCTGCATAGGATCCAGGTGAAGCCCCAGCAAAGCCAGGCTAAGACTCAACTTAGAACAGTATGAGAGAAAAGGAGGCAGAGCAGGAAATATGCAGGTCCAGCCCCAAAGATAGGCACCCCAAGCCACTCCTGGGGCTGGAGAGATGGTACTTTGCTGCTATTACAGAGGATCTAGGTTCCCAGCACCCCCCTGGTGACTCACAACCCCTTGTACCTCTAGTTCCAGAGGATGGCAAATGCATGGCACACATATGCACATGCACATTATACACATACACATTGAATAAATAAATACCCAAGTGCCTCCCATAAAGACTGTTCCTCCTTCCTGGCCTCTGAGCCACCTCAACATTCAGGCGGCAGCCCATAGAAAGCAGCAGACAGAGAGAGTTTATTTCCTCCCGGGCCTGACACCTGGGGAAACAGAGTGCAGGCATAGGCACTAGGGTGTGTGGGCCTGCCGTGGCCTGGAGTTTATTTGGCTGCCTGGGAGGTAACTGAGTGAGTGTGTAACAGGGCGTGTAGGGCAGGAGTGAGGCAGGGCCCTTGGGACATGGAAGCACAGGAGTGCTAGGCTTGGCACTCAGGATGGAGGTAACGGAGGGTGTGGGATGGGTGTGGTGGGGTGGGCTGACCCTTCAGCAGAGCAAGCTAGCTTGTCTCAGAGCCAGAGGTAACTCAGGGCATGGCAAGCTGGGGCATGTTGGGCTCTGGCTGCTGACTGGGAAGCTGGGTACCAGACAGGGAGAAGAAAGGCCTGTGGATAGCAGGACATGGCCATAAAAATATGGCGGCAGAGGATCAGGGTGCAAGGTGGCTCCATAGTGAGCTGTGAGAGGGCGGGTCTGCGGTCCCCGTTCAGGAATACATAGTCAGCTGCAGCCACTGGAAGAGGAAGGCACAGATGAGCACCTCACCCGGGGCCTGCTGGGCATATGGGACAGGAGGGGCTGCAACTCACAGCTGAGCACCCGCCCCCAGGAGAAGCAACCTTACCTCCTGGATGTTCACTTGGATCTGTCCAGTGCCGTTTTTGTCGAGAGACTTGAAAGCGCCTAAGGTGAAAGGAGAGGAGCACTCGGATGCTTTCAGGGTGATAGCATCATGCTCATCCATGGCTGACTGTTCTCTTGTTGTTGTTTTGTGGTGTTTTTAGACAAGGTCTTGCTTAGTAGCTCTTGGCTGGCCTCAAAGTCATGGAGACCCCCTGCTTCTGCCTCCAGAGTGCTGGGACTAAAAGCGTGTGCCACCCTGACTAGTTATAGGATAATGATGCTGTTGATGGCCATGACAACCATCTTTTTTTTCTGTAATCCCAGCACTCGGTTGGCTGTGGAAAAGGAAAGTCCTGAGTTCAATATTACTCTTAGTTACATATGGGAGTTCAAGGCCAGTCAGGCTAGATGAAACTCTATTCTAATAATAATAATAATAATAAATCAATAAAATATCTAATTCGGTGAGGATGTGGCACTTTAAAATGAGGTACAGAATTAGGGTGTTATAACACAATAGGATAGAGCATTTGCCTATCATGCTTGAGACACAGGTTCAATCCCTGACAACCCAATAAGTAAGTAGATAAAGTGAAGTCGCATGCTACAGCTCACATAGCAAGACGGGACAGAAAACTGGACTAGGAACCAGGCCCATCCTTCCCAACCCCTGTGCTACACCCTCTCCGGCTGCAACCCAAACAGGCTCCTAAAAGGAGGTGACTGGCATCTGTGTCTTGGCCCTAGAGTCTGGTGTGGTCCCCCCTCCTGTCCTGGAACTTGACTCCACGCTTCCCATCCTCAGCCAAACCAAGCCAGAGCTGCCCACACTACCCAAGGCTGACTCACTACCTTCAGGTGGCCACATAGTGTCCTCGATGCCACGGGTGCTTCTGCTACCATAGGCCAGGGGACCAGGGGACATTTCTGGAATTTCCTATCTTCCTGCCTCTACCTCCTGAGCACTGGGATTACAGGTGTGAGCCATCATACTCGGGTTAACGGATGCAGAGTATGAAACCCAGGGCTCCACATATTCTAGGCAAGCTCTCTACCAACTAGGCTATACCCTAACCCTTTAACTAAGTAACTAATTAATTAATTTTGGTTTGAGACAGGTCTCACAAAGCCCAGGTTTGCCTCAGATTTGCCAAGTAGTCAAGGATGATGTTGAACTCCTGACCATCCTCTTGCCTCAGCTTCCTAAGTGCTACCACGACACACAACTCCACCACTACACCTGACTCCACCCCTCCAGCCGACTCCACCACTCCAGCCAACTCCACCACTCCAGCCGACTCCATCACTCCACCGGACTCCATCACTACACCTGACTCCATCACTACACCTGACTCCATCACTACACCTGACTCCATCACTACACCTGACTCCATCACTACAGCCGACTCCATCACTACAGCCGACTCTATCACTCCACACTACTCCACCACTCACAGCCGACTCCATCACTCCACCCAACTCCACCATTACAAAGGAGCTTTAAGCCAAAGTTGACCCAGTCCCTCCCTTGTCTAGAACTTACCCTGGCTCTACAGTGCCCACGACAGTCTGAGTACCCCTGAACTTGGCATTCACAGTGCTGCATAGCATGTCCACGCCCATCATTCTCGTTTCTTCTCATTGCTCATACACAAAGTCAAACACAAAGTCAAATTCTGACTTTCCAACTTCCTGGCTGAGTGGCTAAGAGCAAGTACTTCGCCTGAACCTTAGCATCCTCCACCGTAACAAGGGGACAGTGGTTCCCACTTCTGAGAGAGTCTTAGGAGTCTTACAAATCCTTATAAAAGCTCTTACTGCAGGCATGAAGATCAGAAGTTCAAGGTCACCCTCAGCTACAAATTTAGTCTGAAACCCACCTGAGCTACATGAAAACCTGACTCAAAAAAAAAACAACAAACAAGCAAGAGAAGCTGGAGAGATGACTCAGAGGTTGAGAGCACTGGTATTCTTTCAGAGAACCTGGGTTCAGTTCCCAGCACCCACATGGTACCTCACAATCATCTGTAACTCCAGTTCCAGATCCGACACCCTCTGACATCAGGCACAGACATACAAACTATACAGGCAAAACACTCATATACATAAAATAAAATTTAAAAACCAAACAACCAAAAAACAGATCAGAAAGAAAGAAATCCAGCCTACGCATGGTAGCATATGCCTTTAATCCCAGCACTCGGGAGGCAGAGGCAGGTGGATCTCTGTAAGTTTGAGGCCAGCCTGGTCTACACAGCGAGTTCCAGAACAGCCAGGGCTACACAGCCAGATGCTGTCTCAAAAAAACAAAACAAAGAGAGAGAAGCAACTCAGTCGTCCTCTGACCTCTACATGTAAATACAAATGTAATTTATAAATAAACCATAAAACATCAACAAAAGTACCACCTCCCTTTCCTCTCTAGGCCTTCACAGACTGTCCCCTTAGCTTGCAACACCCTTCCTTGCTCTCTCTAGGTCACTCTTCCTCATGCCTCATGCTTAGTTCACATTTGCCTTCCTCCACGCAGCCCTCCCTGATTCCCTGGGCTGAGTCAATTGCTCTCTTAATCTAAATAGCCTCCTGAGCTTCCCCTCACAGCCCAGATGGCTCTCACTAGCCTATCCCATCCCAGCCATACCAGTCCCAGCTCTAGCTGCCTGGTGACCCCAGCATTGCTCATGTTAAAGTCAGGCTTAGGGGGGCTGGAGAGGTTAAGACCACTGGCTGCTCTTTTCAGAGGTCCTGAGTTCAATTCCCAGCAACCACATAGTGGCTCACAACCATCTATAATGAGATCTGGTGCCCTCTTCTGGCCTGCAGTCATACATGCAGGCAGAACACTAAATATAGTAAATAAATATAAAAGATAAATAAATAAAAGTCAGGCTTAGAGGAGACCTTGGCCAATGAAGGTTAGCAAATCCCCAGCGTCCTAGAGATGTAAAGCGTCACTCACGGAACATGGCATCCAGCCTGACCAAGCAACTGATGAAGTTATCGAAGTCCATGCTGCCACTCTCATCCGAGTAGCGCCGGATGATCATGTTGTAGAGATGCTCATTCAGGTGGAATCCTGAAAACGGCTCAGTCTCAGGGTGGGGGTGCACAGTCCTTCTTGATCCCCAGTATAGTGGTGTGGCTTCACCCACCCCACCTCTAGCCCATCACAGCCCTGCCAGCCCACCTGCTGCCTCAAAGGCCCCTGGGAGTTCACTGCTGCTGATGGTCCCCGATCGGTCAACATCAAAGCGTTTGTATATAGCCTGGAGGGAAGAGAAGACAGCCATCATGGATCATGGTGTCCCCAAGGCTGGGGGTCTGGATGCTGGGAGTTTCGGAGGCCGCCACACACCTGCCACTTTTTGATGTTATTCCAGAGGTACTTGAACTCCTCAAAGCCCAGCTTGCCTGTGGTGTCACTCTAGTAAGAGGTTGTTAAGAACAATGTGACACGCC